ATGTGTGGTTATTGCCTAGTCCACTGCTTCTGCAGTAGAGTTGTCTTGTCTTTGAGTGCCTGCTGTGCTTACAGTTCCATTGAAACAACACTTCTTATAGCTGTTTCTGCTAAAGCTTCTGGAGGCCACTACCCCGTCTCAGCATGATCTCTGCAGCTGCCACATAATAAATCACAAACAGGGACATTATAAAAACAGAGTTTCCAGAAAATTCCACTAAATAAACTGACCTTACTGTTTCTCCAGAACTTGTAACCATGGGTCACTACAGCCACAGTACCCCTTCAATCTTCCTTCAGTTCACACTGTTCTTTCCTCTATCAAATATTTGTCCACCTTCCGCAGGTCACACTTCATGAAGATGGACTTCCACTCATTGTGTGTGTGTGTTTCACGAAGCTAGACATCATGTTTGTCTGTGTCATGAAGATGGACTTCATGACAATCGTGTGTGTGTTTGTGTGGTTCTTCCAGCTCAACGGCCATCAGAATGATTTACTGACCCAAGCTGAATCTGATCTCCATTTTCCAAAACTGGATTCAAATTACTCCATGGCTTTCAATTAATTTTTCCTCCATTTCAAAACATTTATGCTAAAGTTTCAGGCGTAACCATGAATCCAACTACTCTGGTTGTTCTATCTCTGAGGAAAAGAATTTGAGACCTCTGATAGTAGCCATTGTTCCGGGCAAAGCCATTAAAGAGCGTTATTTCAGTATCCTTGCAGATGCACAAAGTCTGCCACTGAGAACACAGGTCTCAATGTAGTAAAACCTCCAGTGGTGAAGTTTCATCATCTGCAAGAAAAAGTACCCTATGTGGAGACATTAGATGCAGGACATAAGTCAATGGCAAAAATGATGAAGCAATGCTGCTTGCATGTGTTTGAAAGCTCTAACAGTAGGTAGCTGGCTTTCTTTAACCAGGAAAATTCCCCTTGTTCCTGGCAAAGTGGCTCTCACTTATGATACCCAGTTTTGAACAGGTGATGTAGTGCTTGTAATATGCTAAACAGAAGAGCCACAACATATGTAATAACAAGAAAAAAAAAATCTAATTTTATGTGTGTGGCAGCCTTCAGACTAAATGTAGAGATTGTGGCAATCCAGTAGCAGTTTTTTCACAAGTGCACATATACATATGCTTTGTTTTCTGGTCTGATTTTTTTCTACACACTTAATGTGCTTTGACAGACATGTCTGCCTGATTCTTGCTACCATACTAGTATTAGGCATAAGGATGCTACTGAAATATGTTTTGTCACAGAGAAGATTCAGGGACTACTGTGTGATTGATGACATCACAACGCAAAAGGTGCACATGTCTCAGCAGCTTCTCACAACAAAATAATAGGAAGGAAATGAAAAACGTGGGTTTTGCATACTCCAGATACCAGTGACAAGACTGTGATGAATATCTAAGAAAAACTATAATCTGGTTTTTTTTACAGGGCTCCCTTGCTACTTTGCTTAGGATCCTTAAGCATGAAATGTAACAAACAGTCTCTCTCTAACTCTGTTTGTCCCTGAAAAAAAAATCCAAAGCCACAACAAAAAAAAACAACAAAACCACACCAAAAACCAAAACCCACAACAAAAAACCACAAACCCAAACAAACAAAAAACCCCAAACACAAACCCCAAAACAAAACCAAAAGAAACACAAGAATAACCCAAGCTAACCGACCAAAAAAACCACCCTGAAAGAACTGGCCTCAGTTTGCATAATTTTTATTTCTTTTATCTCAAAGCTATTTTAATCCTCTGCCTTAAAAGCTGCATTGAACATACACATCTGTGAAGTGTCTGTTCCATTAACTAAATTCTTTAATCTGAGTTACTGAAATATTTTGTCACACTGTAGACTAGAGCAACTTCTTGAAATTTACTGATAGAGAGAAAACCCAGGAGTAGCTTCAGATTATAACGTTTGTAGCAAACGTCTGCAGCTGAACAGCCCAGCAGCCCCACCTTAAATAACACCATTTTTAAAGATAGGAAAACAGCGGTTTTCAGCAGAAAAATAAACACAACAAACAGAAGGTTGTGTTCCCTCTTCTCCCAAGGACTTGGACTAGATAATAACTGACAATTAAAACAGAGAAGAGCATTTATAATCAGAATGCAGTAGCAGAAAAACTGAAAGCTAAAAAAGAGCAGAATGAAGAAGCATGATTCACAATAGAAACCATGCCATTTTTTTGGCCCCATCATACCTTGCAGAATCCACAAGGATGGGGTAGCAATACTCATGCAAGGCCTTGCACAAGGTTGTAATAATGTAAGAAATTTCTTGGAACTTCAAGGTATTTACATTCATGCAGCTGGCAAGTCAGCTGACTACTACTGGAGGTCAGAAATAAACTTTTCTCTTATAAACAAGATTCCTTTTTTCCCCCAGGATGCACAGACAAGTGCATCCTTGGAACGCTCCCAAGGCACATATGCTAAAGAACTACAGGACAAAAACCAAGCTACAGTCCACTGTTTTTCTCAGCTGAACAGTATAACCTTCTATTTTTATGTAAATTATTATGTAATTTATTATGTAAAAAAAATAATGTATTTATTATGTAAAAATAAATTTTGGTAAAAATTTATTATGTAATTTTTACATAATATTTTTTAAATAGAAATATTTTAATACTTTATTATTGTGTAATAATAATAACTTATTATGTAAAAAAAATGTTCAAGTGAAGTTTCTGAGCAAGGTGAATAGATTAGCAAGCATTATCTGTCTTCAAAACTCAATGAGTATCTAGACTAAGTGCCCTTGAGATTAAGAGCAGTGGTAAATTGGAACAGAAACTGCCCAAGTAGCTGAAAAAGCACCAGCTGAGGGAACAACCTCTCCCCCAGCCCAGATTTCTGGAGGAAGTGGCACTGGAAGTCACAGGACAGAACTGCAAGTATTTTTCAGCCAAACCAAACAAGTATAACACATAACTGGAGAACTGTAAATGCAAACCTGTGTAAAAGAGCAAAGAAAAGCTATGTGGGCAATAAAAGACAGGCAGGTGTTAACTGTAAACAAGCATTTAACCAAGCAAAATCTCTTTGTGTAAGTTACCTAAAAATATGGAACTAACTGAGAAATGACATGAAATGCCTCTGATAAACATAGGTCATACCAGGCTTAACCTGTAACCCACTTCCTGACATCTACTGTTCATTCCTCTGAACATAAGAAATAGGAAATGTTATATGGAATATCTGAAGAAGGTGAGGATCAAAGAGTCACAGAATGGTTCAGGTTGGAAGGCACCACTGGTGGGGTCATTTGGTCCAATCTCCCTGCTCAAGTGGAGTCTTCAAAGTCTAACAGAAAGTGCAAGGTTTGTAAGGAATTTGGCTTAAGAGAAGAGAGACGTTGTTAAAAGTGAGACATCAGGCAAAGACATGCTACCTGTTAGCCCTGCATGGATAAATTGTGGGGTCAACACTTCCTAATTTTTTATTAACATTATTACAAAAAGGAGGAGTATGATGAGTATAATATTTGGTGATAATATTTAACTATGGGGCATATGCAACACAGGAGCTTGAACACAGAACAACTGAGGGTAATTATACAAAAAGGAAATAAACTGACATAAGACACAGACAACTGGTGGTTCAGGGGAGAGCACAGAACTTGGAGATGATAGTCACTGTGACCTTTCAATGTGATGTGGCTGTGAATTCTATGTTTTGTCAGAGAGGTATTTCGGTATTTCCAGTAAATACACAGAATAATTTGTGCCATGGTGAGAAGCCTTTACACAACTTTCTCTGGAATTTTGTTAATTTATAGTCAAAAAGGAACAGAGAAGAGTATGTAGGATGACTGGGGGGAATGGAAACTACATATGGCTACCTACTAGTCTTGTCTAGCAAAATAAAACTGTGTAAGTGTTCATCTCAGGCACTGATTTTTTCTTCCTTTCTCATAGTAAGTGTCAAGAAAAATTTAGAGTTTAATATTTTAAAGTCATAGGTTGGGAGATTGAATATAACCTGTGCCTAAAAAGGGGGAAAAACCCCAAATTTCTCAAACATTATTTCTTTTTATTTCTGAGAAAATTATCTGGAATGTTAAAGACACCCAGATACTGAAAATGTAACTGCCAGCAAAAGGGGTGGGAAAAGAAACAGCAGCTTAGTAATCTTCTGGGTGCTGTAAGTGACACCCAGAAATGAAAAACTTTTAACGTTAGATGTACTGTAGAAGTATTTGAATCTCTGTGCTAGATTACAGAAATTAAGAAAAAAAACAGTCATCATTTCTTTGAGGTGATCTGCCAAGAAAAAAAATCGAATTTGGCAGCTAACAACTTGGTTATGTAAATACATATCTATCTATCTATCTATCTATCTATCTATATATGAAAAGGTGTATTTATAGCTCCACTTAGTTACCAATATTGCTAGTGGACCAAAATAATGCTGGTCAAGACAACCAGTGTCATAAAACCAAACCCCAAATCAGTATCACCTACTGTTACAATATCTAAACAGATCTGTTCTGCTACTATTGATGCATGCTCCTACACTAAATACATCCTCTCTTAAACAACATTCCTTTTTTTTTAAACACATAGCAAACAAATGTTTGTCTGTTTGACAAAGCACTGAAGAGGTGATAAGGTTTATAGTCCAGACACATTGTATAAACATTCAAAGCATTTGGGAACTTGCTGTACTAAATTTCTCAAAACAGTATTTATGCCCAGAGGTATATCTGTTGCTAAGAACAAAGAATTTCCATAAATCTAGCAAGAGTATATACTTTAAAGCTGTACTGAACACGCTTTAAATAGTCAGTTCTGCAGTGGGCAGAAACATCCTATGATTGGTTTCACAGAATGAATAAAGTACTTACAAAAAAATCCATGGAACATATGTTATTGGTTCTTGTTTTTACTTAGTTCTGAAATATATTTCACTTACAGCAGATCTGAATTAGCAACATGAAGGGAAAAACATACCAAAAAAAGTTTGTTGTAAGTTTTATTTACCTTTTTATATGTTTTCTCTTCATTTGGTTTTCCAGCAGTAACATCTCCATTTTCAGTAACAGACAACATCTATTAACAGAAGCTTAAGTTATAAAGAAGGTATTTGCTTTAGAAAAGTAAGTGTTCAGAAAAATCAGACAATTTATTATCTATTCAAACTTCTCAGAGGACAGCAAGTCACCAAGATCAGTGACACATCTAGGATATTCCTAGAAATATTTTTCAGGCAGACTAAAAGGATAGTGCTGTGCCAGGAATATGTCCAGCACATGACCGATTCTACACAACTCTCTTTTCCCCACACCAGTATGCAAGTCTGCAGTGAAATCTCGCTCCTCTGCATACTGCATGAGATGTTCCTGACAGGTCCAGTGATGGGCAAAATTATGAAGCTTGTGAGCCAGATATTCAGTGGCATGTCTCAGAGGTCCAAGGCCTTTGGCAGCATTGACATGCTGTACCTCCTCAGAGTAGTGAGAAGATATTTTACATTGCATCTTATCACAGCTGTAAAGCAATGCTGGATCAAGAATAAACCACTAAGTTAGAGATAACTTTGGTCAGACACTCTGAATGTGTCTGCTGAAGTAAATAAAAAAAAAGCTATAATGACGTGCTTTAAAATCATTCTAGATTTTACCAACACTTTCTCAATGGAATTAGACTTACTCTTATGAACAACAGTACAAGTCATCTGGAGCTGAGAGTGAAGATCAAGCCATTGGTGATGCTGATGTTTTCCAGAACCTATTAAAAGAAAATTCTGTCATCGCTATGCCATCAAAAATTTCACCTCACAGAATAGCTTTAGATTTCCTTTTTCTACAATTCTTTGGCCCAAGCAAGTATTCATCTACAAGTGTGGCTTTTCAAGAATCATGTCAAATAATTTGATTACTAACAGGTCATTTAATATACTTAGAAACTAGCAGTATTACACAGGAGGAAATAAGTGCAGTCTAATTTCCATTTGCCCCAGATATTCCATTACCATGGCACAAGCGACTCTACAATAAAACATTTATGAAGAGCAGTAGATATACATACTCTGGAGTGTTGTGTAATTACATGCACTCTTATAACCTTATAATCTCCAATCACTTATAAGCAATAGCAATGATGATTTGGAGGACTGCACAAACAAAGCTCTAGGCAACAAACAAAGTAATTTTGAAAGTTTTCTATAATAGTAGTGACTATCAGCATGATTTCTGTGAGTAGTCTTGTTGAGGTGATCTATTTCATTGTCTAAATGGTTTGACTAAACATATGAGAAAATATTATGTATCAGATGCTACCTGATACCTCTTTGGAATCAACCCTCCCGCTCATCCCATATCCATTTTAAGTCACATCAGTAAAGCTATTCTTCAAATACAGCAGAAGAAAAAAAAAATCTCATTTGTCTTTAATCAGCACAATAGCATCTTGTACATAACTAAAAATTGATTTTAAAAAAGTATTCTCAGGCATCATTCACTTAATTTAGTTGTCAGTAATCTGAAGAGTGTACTTAACACCAGCAAGAAACCTTTTAAAAAGGCTTCAGTCAGTATTTTCCTTCTCTTCAGAGAAGCACCTGAGCAAAAAAAAAAAGGGGACAACAAATAGAAACCTGGATTTTCTGAGAAGAAAACAATGCCTCCCCAGAGAAAATCCCTCTTCTAACATTACATACCAGTATTTTCCTACTGAATGTTATTGCATTCTTCATTGTAGCCTTCACGCAAGTAATGTGTCTTAATAATTCCTTTATTTGGATGTGCATTAGCAATATACTACACATTGAACTACAGCTTAAAGGCAACAACTCAGTTTTGACAGCTTTTAAAATCGTGTGTAGTTTATTTAGCTTACCTATATCCACACATTCTGTTCTAGAACAAGCACCAGTCACAAGTATAGAGGCCATGTTACTGAGAACACAGCTGCGATGGGCAGGGCACATCTCAAGGATGAAGGACCATCGCCTCCCTAAGATCTTGCTCTATGGTGAACTTGCCACTGGCTGCCGCATGAGAGGAGCCCCGAAGAAAAGATACAAGGACTGAAACATCTCAGCCTTGGCCATATTGATCACCATAACTGGTCTACTCTAGCCTCCAATCGGGAGGCCTGGAGACACACCATCTATAACGCTGCTGTCACCTTTGAGAACGCACACAGGATCACTCTTGAGGAGAAAAGGCAACGCAGAAAGAACCGTGTCTTGCAGAATATACCACCTAAGGAGTCTTTCTGCTGTGCCTTTTGCAATCGGATATGTCTATCTCATATTGGCCTCATAAGCCACCAGCGTGCTTGTAACAAACGTGGATAGAGCCTTCCCAAATCTTCGTTTGCAAAGCCTAGCCATGATGATGATCCACACATTTAATACTAATCCATGCTTGTAACTCTATCAATACCTGAACACAGGCATCAAGAACTGGTTAAAACAGCTTTTGTAGGAAAAGAAATGTCATTTTAATCACTAATAGAAGACTGTTTAATCAACTGATCCCTGAGTAAAAACACAACCACCCCAACCTGTTGTTCTCCACATACCCTCCAAGACTATTGATATAATATGATGTTCAACTATACCCCAAATTTCCTAAAATATCCTCACACATAATCAGAAAAGCTAAATATAAATGCAACATGGGATGCAAATATGAATGCAACAGCTAACTTACTTTCTTTCCATAAGTTAGCTGAAGAAAGCACTTGTGCCAAACATGGAAGAAAAGCCTGATTTTTTCCCTGAATAGACAGACAAATTATTTAAGAACACTTCTTTCATGTGAAAATATACTGCCAATGAGAGGCCATGTTCTGTAACTACCAAGTACAAAAACTCATACACCCTAAAGAAGGTAAATTTTCCCTATATGTGCCAGGTTATTTCCTAGAGACATCTAGGATAGAATCATTTTGATTCCTAACCTTTTGAGAAACAGAACACACAGCTCTAACAACTGTGGTTGTGTTAAAATCTTTTAGAATCTTTGCTGTAACAACCATCTCCTGTTCCATGCTAACAACTTTTGCAAAACAAGTATTACTTTGTGTATTTTCTCCCTGCTCTAAATTGATTGAAATCGTACATGGTGCTTTGTCTTATGCTTTACAATGTGCAGAGCAAGAGCTACTGTCTCAATTCTGATGAGGTTTAACAGTTCAAAGACAGGTCATGAGTTACAGTCTTGGACCCACTTTTAGGCTAAGCTACAACTATTTTCTTACTTGTTACAATAGCAGGAAACTACAGTAAGTAAAGCATTAAATCTCTGCATCTGACAAAGGACAGGTGCACAGTAAAGGAGGACGCAGGGCAGGGACAAGTAGAGGAAGAAAACATTTCATCTCAAAAATACTGTAGTGTGCTAGCTTTGGCTGGGATAGAGTTAATTTTCATCACAGTAAGCTAGTATGCTACTCCTGAGCAGCACTTACACAGAGTCAAGGCCTTTTCTGCTCCTCACTACACTCCACCAGCCAGTGGGCTGGGGGTGCACATGGAGTCGGGAGAGAACACAGCCAGAACAGCTGATCCCAACTGATCCAAGGGATATCCCAGACTATATGGTGTTGTGGTCAGCATACAGAGCTGGGAGAAGGAGAAGGAAGGGAGAATGTCAAAGTGACTGCATTTGTCTTCTCTTCAAAGTTACCATCAGACGTGATGGGGTGCTGCTTTCCTGAGCAGAGAAGAAATTTAAAGACTATTTTTAAAGAGTCAACACATTGGCTGTGATTCTTCTGTGCAGCAAAAGCTTTTATGACATATTCAGTTGCTGAGACACAAGTTTACAACCTTTGGTTCCAACCCTGTGCTCTGAACAACTCCTAGTCCTAAATGCAGACTTGAAAGAATCACATGTACTTAATGTAGAGTTCACACAAAAAAAAAACCCAACCCTGTGTTTCACAGTTTAGTTTCCCACATTGGAATCATTGAATCATATGCTTCTTAACTAACACAAACTGCAATTTCCATGACACTCAAGGAAAAGTGCCCTACACATTTTCCCTTAGAGCTACAGGGATACCTGTTTCATTTCTCTGATCATCCAAAAGCCCACTATGTCAGCACCACCCTACCTACCACGCAGCCAGAGTTTTGAGAACTGAGATGGCTGACAGCAAATGCAAGCTTCCTACCCAGCTTTGAGTTTTTAATTGCATTTTCCTTATACAGCTGAAATTAATCTTTTACTAACAGCTTAAGGCATTCATTTTGGCAGATTATAAGTAACTATCTGTTTTTATATAACCTTAATTGCTTAGGCCCAGATACAGGTACTGGTACTAATACCTGAATGGCCTCTCAGCTCAATTTCAAGTTAACTTTAAAATTTCCAACAACTTCAGTGAAAGCCAACGAAAAATGCTATTCCTAGGTTCCTACAGGCCTCGTGCATTAGTTCATCCAACCCAAAATCAGTTCTGCCTTCTTTCAATTATCAAGAAAACAATATTTGTTTGAAGAATGCATTTCTTAACATATTTAGATAATTTTCTTAGATAAATCCTTCGTTAGAAGCACTAATAAAACAGGTTTCTTTAGGAATCACATTCCAAATAAAAGCCATGTAGCTTTTCACTACACGTGCTGTCTTGTCCAGGTTGATAGTCAAAGTTTAATCTATAATTTTAAATATGAGGAGTAAAAAACCAAAACAAAACAAAATGAAATGACACTTTAATGGTACAGGTTTTTCATCTCTGAGAGTCTGAAATACACAACTGGAATTTTTGGGGGGTTTGGTTTTTTGTTGTTGTTGTTGTTGTTTAAGTGAATGCATTGGGATGAAATACACAATTTTGGAATTAATGGTTCTCATATTTCCGTACATTACAGATACCTGTTTATTTGCTCACTTTCTAATCCTTAAACAGTTCTCTTCCTCTGGGAAGACACAGAACTCCTAGAATGCGGCAGATGACTTCTCAGAAAAGTACACAGAATCTTATATTAAATTCATACCAATGATACTAAGTCAGCATCAGACAAAATAAGATGATCAGACTAATTTTATCTGTCCTAAGTAACTGGAAGTTTACAAAACAAAACTGCGCTCTTGATAGCAGTTTGTTAGCACAACATGTAAGGACGTTGACAGGAATTTCTGGTTCTATAAACAGTATTTATAGTGTATTCCGTTAAAAAGAAATGGCAGGTTAAATTCCTTGGTAGCCCTTGTCTTCTGCTATTACTATTTTAAAGCAGTATCTTCTAATATAACTATGAAAACCATTTTCTTTACTGCAAAATTCACTTTAACTGGTGAGATTTGTCCAAGCATACTTCTCCTTGCTGAAGTTGTAAGAGTAGTTTTTAAAGTCAGTTCCTCAATTCACTAAAAGGACTTGTAGATCCATGTGGCAACATTCTTCTACCAAAACACTTGATAGAAGACAGTCACACATTGTTCAATTTCAGCTCCTGTGTGAAACTGTTACACAAAGTTTTGCCAGAAGGGGCAAAACTTCTCAACCAAAACTGCTCTACAGTGGAAGAAATCCACAAATATATAGTCATTAATGAAAAGCTACTCTTTTTGTACTTGTTCTCTTGTGTTTCCCTCCATCTCAAGTACTCTAAAACCATTCATGGTATTCTTGGAGCTACCTGAAAGCAGGTCTAAGATCAAATGGTACTCTCTTACTTCTCTGAAATTATAATGACTAGAGCTCATAACTTCTTAGGCACCAAACAAATTTCTCTTACAGATGATGCATCTATAAAGTCTTCCTCCTGT